AGCCCGACATGATTGGCTTAACCTGCAGTTGCAGGATTTTAAAACTGTTACAAAGTACAACTCTGCTATCCATTAGATTACATCTCAGTTAAAACTCATCGGAGAAAATGTTACCGAGAATGATAAATTAGAAAAGACTTTCTCTACCTTCCATGCTTCTAACGTTGTGCTGCAACAGCAGTATCGTGAGAAAAACTTTCAAAAGTATTCACAGCTCATAGCATGTCTTTTATTAGCTGAGCAAAATAATAAGTTACTGATGAAAAATCATCAGTCCTGACCCACTGGTTTTAGTCCGTTCCCTGAACGTAATATTTTATGAATGAGGCTGAGGACGTGGTAGAGGCCATGGACGTGGTCGCAGTTGTGAGAGTCAACGAAGTCGATATACCCCTTACAATCATCACGGTTTTGACATTAACAAGAAGCAGAGTAAACCCCAATATGGGGATATAGCCGAAAAGGCTAAACAAGGAAATAGGCATATCAGAATTTGTAATCGGTGTGGCATTGATGGCCATTGGGCCAATACATGCAGAACAACCAAACACCTAGCCGATCTTTATCAAGCCTCACAACAGAAAAGGGGAAGGAGGTCGAGACTAATCACGTTGATAATGATGACGACCCCGATGATGATCTTCTGGATTACGACACAACGCATCTTGATATAGCGGATTTTTTCATAGATCCAGCAAACCCTCAGTGACAGACATACTATGTCATTTTATATTTTGCTATTTTATATTTTGTAATATTTAAATTATCGCATACTACCTTTTTGTAATGCATTTTGTAATATTTATATTTATCTTTACTAATACTGCGTTTATTTATATTTTAAAGTTAAATGGATGCCAATCAAAATTATGCAAATATGTGTTTCATTGACAGTGTAATGACACATACTATATTAAAACACGAAAAATATTTCTACCATTTGAAAAGGGAAAGAATGAATGTCAATACAATAAGTGGTATTACAAAATTAATTGAAGGCTCCAGAGAAGCCATTATATGCTTCCACGTCGATTACAAATCTGAACCGTCAAAAACTGTTTTCACATCGGTTACAACCGTCAAAAGCTGTTTCCACGTCAGCTACAAATCTGAACCGTCCGAAACTGCTTTCTCATCAGTTACGAACCGTCCAAAAACTGCTTCTGTGTCCGATTACCGATCCGAACCGTCCAAAACCGCTTCCTCGTTGATTACCAATCTGAATTGTCCGAAACCGCTTCCTTGTTGTTTACTAATCTGATCCATAAAAAACTGCTTCCACGTCGGTTACAACCTTCAAAAGCTGCTTTCATGTCAGTTACAAATCTGAACTGTACGAAACCATTTCCTCGTCGGTTACCAACCGTCCAGAAACTGCTTCCGTGTCCGATCACCGATCAGAACTGTCTGAAATCGCTTCATCGTCGGTTACCAATCTAAATCGTCCGAAACCTGCTTTCTTGTCAGATATCGTTGTAACCAACTCGGATGAAAAAGCAGTCTAAAGGGCCAACCATCCGGTCAATGAAGAGTGTTTGAGATCAAGGGAGACAAGAAGTACATAATATTGCTAAAGAAAAAAAAAACTGAAAAGGATAACTAGAAAATTAAAATGGTGATCCCCAATGAAAATTTATCTGAAATTTTGTCTGATTGAAGATGCTCATCCATTCTCACTGGAACTACTTATATACATATCAAACTAAACCGTCCGAAACCGCTTCCTTGTCGGTTACCGATCTGAACCGTAAAAAAACGGCTTTCACGTCGGTTACAAACTATCCAAAAATTGCTTCCACGTCCGTTTTGAACCGCCCAAAACTTGTTTCCTCGTCGGTTACCTTTGTAACCAACCGTCCGAAGACCCAAAGTCGGATGATAACTGTCCATACGGCCAATTGTCCGACCGGCCTGGCCCCAACAACCATCCGACCGAATAACTCTACCATTGGATCACCACTGGGCCCAACCATTCATCCTTCCTGGGCTCAAACTCTAACCTTATTTTGTGGTCAAGAACTTGTCTCCTCATCTCCTGACTCTCAAACGTCACTCTCGACGGCGCAAGAAGTGGAAGTTAGGACTCTGCAACAAAAATTGGGAGTCTTTAACTACCAACCTCATTTTTTTGCACGTGAATTCGGTTGTCGACAAGGTATTCCTGACTCTGTTGCCCGATCACATTACCGGCTTTTCCTGAGCAACAACTAACCTAATTGACAATAGCTGACCTTCCGACCACTAATCCTCTGGCGGTTGGGCTCTCATCTTGGGGTCCCCCGGCAGCTGGCCCTTCCAAAGCCGGCCAACAAGAGGCCGACCCTCCAGCGCCCGACTCTCCTGAGGTCAACCGACTTCTCGTTGGAAAGGAGTCTGATAGACATATCCTGAGGCCAACCGATTTCCTGTTGGACTGTTGTCTCCAATATTTCCCATATGAGGCTAACCGACTTCCCCCATTGTTGGCTCATTCCGAGGCGACCGCCATCCAGGGTCAGGTAGACAACTTCGCATACTTCTCAAAAAATCTTGTTGATGTTCCAAATTATAAATCAGTAATTCCATTTGGTAGCATAATCTTGATCTCTCCTTCATTTCCCGAGCTCTAATTCCAGCAACTGTCCGATCGGTCGTGGCCCGATGTGCAACACTTCCCTTTGCTGACTTGAAGCCTGAAGATCTTCAAGCTCTGGCACAAGTCACGATTGATTTGTTGGTTCAGGACCCCCACCGAGTCGGCAGCTACTCCAGTTTTGCACCGACTAATGGAACGGATCACCGAACTCCAAGCCGACCTTCTAGTGATCCAAACAGTCGGCCTATCTCAGCCTTCGATATTTCAAATGACTTTTGAAATCAGCCGACTTAATGATCACGTCGTCAATATAGACTTCCATAAATTCACCAATGAGATCGTGGAAAATAGCATCCAACACTTGTTGGTATGTTACCCCCGTATTTTTCAATCCAAAAGACATGACCGTCTACTCGTATATCCTTAATGCCCTTGGGCATCTAAAGGATGTTTTGGGGATGTCCTTCTATGCCAGAAAAATTTGATTATAACCAGCATATCCGTCCATCAGAGTAAGAATCCGATGTCCTGCGGCTGAATCGATCAACATGTCGGATACAGGCATGACGTACTCATCCTTAGGAGTCGCTAAATTGAGATCACAAAAATTGATGCAAATCCGAATCTTTTCATTTTCCTTAGTCACTGGTACAATACTTGCCAACCATTCAGCATATCGACATGGCCGAATAAATCCTACCTTTTGAAACCTTCTCAATCTTTTCTTTGCCTTGAGGCATCAATTCGGGGCGTATCCGTCGAGGTGGCCGTTTGTATGGCATGTACCTTGATTTGATAGGTAACCTATGCTCCACCAAAATTCTCTCCAAACTTGGAATTTCCGAATAATCCCATGCCAAACAATTTACATTACTTCGAATCAAATCGACCATCCGACTCTATTGTTATTTTAACAACAAACTACTAACTCTGACCATCCTTGGAACCAGATTGGTTCCTACATTATACTCGATCAAGGGGTCCTGTGCTGTAAAGAATGATTCTTTCTTCTCGAATAAATTTTGGCCAACGAAACAGTTCATCATCTACTGTTATAACACTTGCGTTTTACGGAGAGAAAATTATTGGTGAAGGATTGTCCGTTGCTGGATCCGGATTTATTATCTTTGCCCATTCAGGTTTCTCATAACAATCATTGGCTAGGCTAGCCAAAATGGGCTCTTCCCAGGTCGGCTCTTCTTGTTGCCAGCGCAGTCCTGACATCCTGACCTCACTAAGGGCTGTAGCACTTGGAATTGTGCTATCCACGAACGACGGCCCTGAAAAGTTTGCCTGAAAGCACGACGGAAACATTCCTGGAGGTGAAGGCGTGGAGTGAAGCGAAACTCTCGACAAGGCTTAATCTAGCATATTCCGTATCAAGTTTTGTTGCTCATGCAACATTAACTGCATGGTTGTTGTTTGCTGGTTTTTCATTTGTTGAACCTAATTTAACCATTCATATGGTATTTAGGAGACAACCCCCATAGTGGGGATTGATGATGGCGTTGCCGTGGTGGCCCCGATGGCTGTTCTGAGGCTTTGAGATTGAGAATCTACCAGGAAGTTCCTTGCAACGACTCGACCAGATCGGAGTTGTATAAAGTTTTCGTTAGAAGTAGGATTAACAATGCTTTGCACTCCCACTGTGGTCGTCAATTTGTTGATGGTAAAAGTTCAAAAATAAAAAGTAAAACTCGAAAATATATTTTGAACTTGAGTGAAAAGTGTCTGAGATTACGGATCGTTAGACAGACAATACATAATATTGCTAAAGAAAAGAGAAAGAAAAGCTGAAAAAGATAATTGGAAAACTAAAATAGTTATCCCTAATAAGAATTTCTCTAAAATTTTGTCTGATTGAAGATGCTCATCATTTCTCACTGGTACTGCTTATATACATATTAAACTAAACCGTCTGAAGCCGCTTTTTTATTGGTTACCGATATGAATCGTTCGAAACCGCTTCCTTGTCGGTTACTGATCTGAAACGTCAAGAAACTGCTTCCATGTCGGTTACAAATTCGAACCATCAAAAAACTGCTTCCACACCGGTTACAAATCGTTAAAAAATTGTTTCAGCGTCGGTTCTGAACTGTTCAAAAACTGTTTCATCGTCGATTACCTTTGTACCCAGCCGCCCCAAGACTCAAACTCGGATGAAAACTGTCCGTAGAGCCAACCGTCCGACAGACCTGACCCCAACAATCATCCAATCGAATGACTCTGGCCCACCACTGAATCGCCCCCGTCAATTCATCATTCCTAGATTCAAACTCTAACTTTATTTTGTGCTTAAAATAATTTATGATTTTTTTTTAAATATCTTTTTATAAATAAATAATTATTCTATTATTTATTTTATGTATAATTAGAAAAACAATTTAATTATCTACGAAATAATACACATTCATTTCATATCAAATTCTTGAAAATTTGTTTCATAATCAATTGCACTCATGAAGACTTATTTCCGTGGATCTCAAAACTCAGTTATCACGATTACATATATACATCCTAATCCTAAGGATAATATTTATTTATATAGTTTAAATGAACTTTATTATATTTTTTTACAATGATCAAAGTTCCTTGCATATACGAGTATTCTTTAATCCGGAAATGATGCTACTTTCGTCCATATATCCTTTAATTTGATGGATTTGGTGGGTTCAAGCTGTGCTATATGTTATACTCATGCCATGCCTATCTTGTGATATGGGCAATGAAGGAATCGAGTTCGAGCCGAGAAGCTCCCCCAGGCTGCACCGCCCTCTGCACGGCGGCGCCGACCTCCTTCGCCCTACTCCTCAACCCATCGCCTTCCTCCGACGCCATTAATCGTCTCACAACACTCTCAATACTCGAAGCCTTCACCACTTCCTTATCCCCACTCCACGGCCTCACCAGCAGCCCTGTTTTCAGCACTCTGGTTACCAACGCCGCATTCGCCGGCTGGTCGGAATGCATAGGCCAGGCCGCCATCGCCACCCCCATCATAATACTTTCTATGCACGAATTCCACCCGCAATGGCTCACGAATCCCCCCGTCGCCGGATGCGCCAAAATCTCCGGCTGCGGCGCCCAGTCACGCACCACGAGGCCCACGCCTTCCACCCTCTGCTCGAACCCTTCCGGCAGAACAGCCCGGCGGGGCTCGCCGGAGAATATGTTTCCTTTGTCGGCTTCTCTTAGTACCCATAGAAACTTCACTTTACTTTGCTCTAATCCTTTTGCAAGCTCTGCTATTTCTTCGTCACACATTGTCGTCGTCGTGCCGAATGAGATGTAGAGAACTGAATCTGGTTCGTGTTTATCCAGCCACTGTAAGGATTTGTGGTGTCGTTTTGAAGATGGGTTGGGGGGCAGAATCGGGCCAATTGCCCAACTCTTCCGATTTCCGGCGTCGATCTGTAGGGTTTCGAGAAATGGGGATTCGATTAATCTGCAGGTGTTGTACAAATCGCCTGATCTGTGATTTAGGGCTTTATATTGTAGATGTGTGAATTGCTGAATTTCATCCGTTACGGATCCTTCGAACGACGGCAGCTCTGCGAAGAGGTCAGCGGCGGCGGGCGGCGGCGGCGAGTCGGTGGGTTTCCAGGCGAAGTAGGAGAGAGAAAAGGCGGAGATGCAGTTCAGTGCGTAGGTTTCGGCGTTGGGGATGGAGGGGACGTCCTGAACGACAAAGGACATCATGGAGTCGTGGACGACGACAACGCGTCTGTAACGGGTGGAGATGTGGCGGACGTGGTCGGCGAAGGGCTGGCGCATGGCGGTGGTGGCGAGGAAGGAGGGGCAGAGGTGGGAAGGGAATTTGGTGGGGGAGGTGCGGTCGGGCGGCGGAGAGGGGAAATCGGGGAGGGGGATTTGGTGGAAGTGGATTTTGGCGAGGAGGTGGGGGTGGACGCCATTGATGCGAGCTTTGGCCTGGCGGGTGTGGAGGGGAGAGGCGAGGAAGGAGACGGTGATGTTGTAGGAGGAGATGAGGCAGGAGAGGTGGAGGAGCTGGTTGAGGTGGCCTTGGGCGGGGAGTGGAACGATGACGACGGCAACTTCACACTCGCGCCCACGCGCCTCCGCCATTAATGGATAATGATGAAGTACTTTTATTGTCGTACGAATGAGTGAATTAGCAGTAAGCAACCTGTTTATTTCTCATTGTAGGATTGTATTTGAAGAGTGGGGGCTGGCGCGGGCCGCAGTAGCGGCCGTGGTGTCCACGTATAGGAGGCAGACTTGACTGGAAGAACCGTGGAAGCCAAGGGAATTAATTAATTAATTTAGGAAAGGTGCGGACTGTGAAGTGTGTTTGGCTCAATAATAATAATACTAATACTAATAATAATAATAATAATAGAGGTGGGACTGTAGGATGGCTGCTTGTCACTTTTTTTGTGTTTTTTTAAACGTAGGATTATGTAATCGTTACTTTTTTTGAATAAATTTTTGGTTTAGATGAACCATATGTCACAAGTGATATAATTTCTTATCTTCAGGTGAGCACCAGGATAGTTTATTTTTCTGTATATTAATTCTGACCGGGATAGAAATGAATTTGGGTAGACAGGATCCGATCTAGATTTTATTTATTTACGGTTGGATCTAAAGTTTAGTCGTAGACCCGGACCCAATTAATTACAAAAATAAAATTTAAGTTTAGAATTTAAGATTTACATTTTACACCTAAATATTAGATCTAATTCTGGCGATTAGGTTTTTTATTTTTTTTTTTTTTTTTTACGATGAATGAACCAAATAAAAATGCATTCCAATGATTTCATGATAGGTAATGATTGTGATATATTTTTATATTTGAATAAATATGAAAAATACGAATTTTTTAATTTTTCTTGTTTTTAAATAAATAGATACTGTTTTAGGGAGATCGAATTCGAATTTTAGTTAAGGACCGGCTATTAGCTCAATAGTAGAGCGCACTCTTGATAATTGCGTTTTGTATTGAAAATTTTTAAATTTAACATGTCTAGTAGGTATGGTAGATACATCATAGTAGAGTTCAGGTAAATTCAAGTATGAATATATTCAGGTTCGGGTAAGATCTCAAATCTAGTAATATATATGGGGTAGAAGTCTCGTAGAGGTCTCGAATTCAACTATTTCTGACTCATACTCTACCTATTGTTATCATTTTTCCGTGTTATACACAGTTATTGAATTGTATATTTATTAAAAAAATTTGGCATTATTGTTACATGATTAAAATACATTGTTATAATAATAGATAAACACATGAAATTTGGGCTTTGTTCGCACAATATTCTTTTCCAGTCACAATTTTTAATATATTTTCACTAATTAATACAACGGTATTTCTTTTATCTATTTACAAAATATATATATTTTTATTTGTATTTTGGGTCGTCCAATTACAAAATATTTATTTAAATAATAACACATTTTTTCTACAAGTACGTCTACTTTACTATCAAATCATTATTTTTATACAAAAATAATAATAATAAGAACAAAATTATTTTTACAATAACTTTAATTATCTATACAATTAAAATACTATTATTTCTTAAATTTAACGTAAATGTATATATAGATGGACGAAAGAAATATTATTTTTTAATCTATATAAAAAAAATAATAAAACAGACCCCTTTGGAATTTAAATGAAGAAAGTATAATATATATATTATGCTATCATAAAAAGTCAATATCTAATATACATTATTTTCTTATATTATCAATATAATTTATCATATTTCATATAAAAACATATACCTCAAATCAAAAAAAATGAAAACAAACAATATTGCGACTACCTAAATAAAAGAGTACAATTTTTTATACAAATCAATTTTTAATATTTAATTTACATCACAAAATTCCACATCATCCATCTTCAAATATTATACTCCTTCCTATATAAATCAAAAGTCCATTTGAAATTTTGTAATAAATTAAAAAATAATAATTTTTTTATTAGTTAGTGAAAGTGTGTAGGAATTTTTGACATTTTTAGTCTATTTTATGTATTAAATAATTATATACGTAATAGTATTTTTGTAATTTAAGTAAAAGTTAAGGATATTTTGGTACTAGTATATAATTATTTTTTCTAAAATAAGAAATAGATACTTTAAAGTGGAACATAAGAAAATAATAATAATAAAAAAAATTTAATTGGGATGAAGGAAGTATATATTTATATGATACATTATAAATTTTGAATTCATATATGTATCACAACATAAAAACATACTAAATTATCAAAAAATTATACAAAGATTAGATCTTTTGAACACTATGTAGTACTTCTTCGTCTCAAAACAATAATCTTAGTTTGTCATTTTAGTCCGTCCTAAAACAATAGTCTCATTTTCATTTTTGGTAACTAGTTCTCTACCTTTTTACAAAACTATCTCACTTTTTCACAATAATTAATAGAGGCATTTTGATTTTTTAAAAATACTTTCACAACCACTATATAATATTATTATTACTTAATTTCCATGTTCATCACAAATGCCTCTATCATTTTGAGATGGAGAGAATATGATTCTTTTATCATACAATGTCAATTATTTCTTTTGTATTCCTTTTTTATATTTGAATATTCTCTTCATCATTCAAATTTAGTCTTATTTTCTTATTTTAGTTATTATTTAAATTTATTTTTGTTTCTAATAAAAAATATAATTTTTTTAAAAAATTTTTCTTTACCTTACAAAGAAAAGGTTTATATTTTATTTATTTTTCTTAACACATATGTCTGATCAAATGAATATACGTTTTTATGGAGAGAGTAGTCTTGCTTGTAAAGCAAACACAAAAAATGATTTCAAATAGTAATTTGATTATTCCTGCAACCAATAGATAGCATTGTTTATACGATAATTCAATATCAAAATCTAGAAATGGTTATTCATAGCCAAGTTACAACGACTCGGTTACTTTTGTAATCAATCGACAAATAATTTAATACAAACATCAAATATAGTTATTCACAACCAAGTTATTGTTATTTTTTAAAACTTTTGTCCGACCAAATGTGTATATTTTTTTAATGGAGAGAGTACTCTTGTTTGTAAAGCAAACACTACAAATGATTTCAGATAGCAATTTGATTGTTCATGCAACCAATCGATAGTATTGTTCATATGAGATCCAATGTCAGCCTTAATATGATTATTCGTAGCCAAGTTACAACGATTCGGTTGCTTTTGTAATCAGCAAAAGTAATTCAATGCAAACATCAAATATTATTATTCACAACCAAATTATGGTAATTTCATTGGTTGGTAATCAAATATCATTGTAATTGAATTATGCATATTATTATAATAGTATCTAAAAGAAAAATTAATTATGCATATAATGATAATAGTATATTTTTATATGACGAGACCCACAAACATTTTCTAAATAAAAAAAGAACACCATCAAAATGAAAAATCCACATGTGTATAATTTAATAGTACAATATGTATATATGATAATATAACATTTTTTTTCAAAACAAACGAAAGTATCACAAAATTCCACCATGGTCAAATATAATATCTATGATACCTTATATATATATTTTTATGATTATCGTATATGTATTATCAAATAAAAATTTATTGAATTATCAAAAAAATCTTTTTTTTTTTTTTTTTTTTATTGCGGTCAAAGTGAATTGGCTATATACCTAAACAGGATCAAATTATACATAATTCTAAGTTCATATAGAACTTAGAAAATTAAAAGCATAAAAGTAAAACAGAAATAAAGAAAGTATTACGAAACTAGAGAAAACAAAAATATGGAAGCCTGCCGCCTCGACCCGAATGAAACTGCAAGCCGCCGCAGGGATGTCTTCTGAGGCTAACGGGCATTGGTAAGGTGAATTATAAAAAAGTTAAAGATTAGATCTTTTGATCACTACGTAGTGTATATCTTTTATATTTATTTTACAATGCTAATAATTTACTTTGTATTCCAATATGTATGGTCTTAAAATAATTTTGTTGTAAATTAAAGAAACAACAATACTTTCTCAATTCGAGAAATTTAGCCCATTTGAGTTCGGCACACGAATTAAGAAAAATAAATATTTTATTAAAAAGGTAGAAAAAGTAAAATGGTAGTTGAAAGTATTTTTGAAAATTTATTTAGAAATTATAGAAAATTGAGAGAAAATATAATAAAGTGAGTATATTTATTATAAATAAATATTGAATGAAGCGTAATAATTAAATATTGAATTTTTCATTTTTTCAAATATAGTAATGGGATAAATTTAAAGGACGAACGAAAAAGAAAAATAAGAATAAATTTAGCCAACAGACGAAGTATTCCTTATGTTTCACCAAAATATATTTTGTTACACAATATTATTGAAATGTTGACATTATTTAATTTTTAAAAATATTACATTAATTATATTTTTTTTTTCTCTTACATAATGTCATATAAAAATATTAATTTTCTACCATTCCAATATTTTAGAACTACAAAAGTTTTAGTCTAATACGAACTATTTTTTTTTTAACATTTTTATATAGCTTATTCAAGTATATATATATATATATATTATAGTTAAAATCATTCTACAATAATATCAAATATCTTCAATTTTTACATAAATAACAAATATATAGTTATTTATGCTATTACTTTGTACTTTGTAAAATACAAATAATAAAACTATCAAAACTTTTTTACACATTTTTATTAACTAATAAAATACTATCGTTTCTTAGGAATGAATGTAAAATGATTTTAGAATTTATTAGATTTTATTAAGATCTCAAAATTGGAGAGTATTAATTCAAATTTTTTAAAATCTTTACTATTTGAGATAGTCGAATTTTAAAAAGTCTTTAAATTTTGTTTGATTCTTTTATAGAAATACTAACAATTTGCATGATATAAAATCTCTTATATTAAGACCAGCAAAAATTGAATCCTCCATTTTTTCTAATTTTTTTTACCTTAAATTTCTCTCTAAACTGTAACTATCATTTAATCCATTCTATATTTTTAATAAAAAAAAAAGGAATGTCATATATATTTCTTATTTTAAAAAATTACATAACATTTATTCAATTTTTAGTTATTTACATATTAATTTCAAAAATATTTTTTTTTATAA